TGAAAAGTGACCATAACATGTCGTTTTCTAGCTGTGTTAACTGTAGGCAAATCACCTCTACCTTCAGTTTCATTACCTATCAACAAAAAGTGGGTGGTTGTTTGGTTGTGTCTGACTCTTTGCGACTCCATTTGGGGTTTTCTTGGCAAAGCTACTGGAGTGGTTTGCCATTTCCTTCTCCAGCTCATTTTACAGATGAGGAAACTGAGGCAAATAGGGTGAAGTGACTTGCCCAGGGTCACCCAGTTAGTAAGTGTCAGAGGCCAGATTTGAACTCAAGAAGATGAATCTTCCTGACTTCTGGACCAACATTCTATCCAAAGAGTCACCTGGCTACCCAAAAATGGGGTAGGTGGGATTCTAATACCTGTAGTATCTACCTCACAATGTCATTGTAATAATAAAATGAGATGATAAATTATCACACAGTTCCTTGCAAGCCTTAAAGAACTGTAAGAATGTCAACTATTTTGGGATCTCAGTTTCTTCATCTATAACATGAGGAGCTTGGCTGAGATGATGTCTGAGATCCCTTCCAGGTTTAAATCCTGTGATCCTAAGAGTTCCAACTGGCCTTAAAATATGCACAGAATGAAAGGGATGTCAAATAACCAGGTATCAGTATGGAAGGTAACAATATAGGCAGCATACAAGAAGACACTAGATGAAAAAATATGGTTGGGTTGCTAAATCTTTTAGAATTGAGCAGAAACTTGTTGGCATTGACCATCCTCAATACCAAGCCAGTGAGCAGGAGCCCTGAGAAAGTTATCACTCAAAAGTAAGAGGCAGAAGTGATTCCTTCTGGTAGCCTCAAGGGGAAAACAAAGCTATCAAACTGTAAGCACTAAGGAGCCTTCTAGATGCACTCCGTATCCAGGGCTGTACTTTGACAACTTAGGGCAGGGATCTTACCAATGGAAGAACACACTCCTATTAGGTTAATTCTTTATTTATTGTCCATATTTATTATGGTATGGGGAGGATTTTGCCTTCTGAATTTACCCTTCCAAAATTTAAGAAGGTGTGATCAACATCGTTGCCATCATACATCACTAAGGCAAGCTCATCAATAGTGAGAAAGAAGACAGGTGAGGCATTGTTGCACAGTGGAGCAATCTCTCCAGATACTTAAGACCAAAGACTTCAGCTACTCTGGGCCTGATGCAGTTACAGCTCACGTGCAGAGCCCTGTGCCCCACTGGTTTAGATTGGCTTTCTTATTCATCCCTACTGTTAACTTTTCTGTGTCTGTGCCCCAAGAGGCTTGAAGTATTCAGCCAGATTTTAAATAATTAATTTGATGAATCAAGAAATAGAAAAGTCTTTGGGCAGCAACTTTGTAGATATTTTACATTTAATGGCCATGAGAATTAGGAAGGATAAACAAATTTTAAACTATCTCAGTCCTAACTTTGGTAGCTGGGCTTGAGGAATTTTAATGTTAGGGGAACAAAAATGTTGAAAACACAAATAGGGACCACTTGTATCTTCATGTGGCTTTCACATCACTAGCGTGGTTATCTTTGTGACCCTCTTGTTGGTTACTGATAATCCTTTTCTTCTCCCTTTTTCCTCCTCTTTCCCTAGGTCTTCAGTCTCAAGTAGCGTTCCAGATTCTAAAATCCTTACAAAAGGGCAGATATGCAAGTGTAAATGGGGCTTCTCCAGCCCCTAGGACATTGGAAGGACTTTGTTACTGGGAATCTGGATGTCCGAGTATTTGGACAAGCATTTCCCTGATATGAACATGAAGGGAGGATACCTTAAAGAGAGTTAGCCAAGAACTGTCCCAAACGAATCTGATCAGGGTCTCTTCCACTCAGTCCCTGTACCTGGACAGAATCTAGTTCTGTAGGCTCTTGCCTCTTTTTCAAGAGCTCCAGCTCTTAGCATAGTGCCTGGCACATAGTAGGCACTTAATAAAAATTGATTGAATTTCCGGGTCCCGATGCCTCTGTCCCAAAGAGCTTACTTCATTTTCAGATTAGGTAGGAAGAAAGGGAATGGGAAAGGTTAATTCGCACACGCACACACACACACATACACATACCTGGGATTCTCACATTCCTGCCATATACATATGACTTGTAAACGTACTATTTCCCCAAAGGAAAAGATTCTTAAGCTCCTAGTCTTTGCCATAGACAAAGTGCTTATCTAAAAGTATATACCTTATATACCTTCTAAATGCTAAAGGCATCTAAAAGAATTAAAAATTCTTATTTGGAATGCAAGTGATTCAATTCAGTATAACAAGAATTTGTGGAGTGCCTATAGAGGGATGTGCTGGAGCCAGTTCATACTGCCTATTGAGAAGTGATTGTTAAATGTTTAGTGTTGATCATTTGTACCTTGGAAATCAGCAAATGCTACAAATTAGGGCTTGATTTATTGTTATTTCTAGACTTTAAGACAATAATGGAAAACTACTGGTAATACAGATTAAGCTTCAAAGTGTGGTAAATTCCCCCTCTGCCCGCAGAGAGCTGATTGTCAGACATTTATCAGCATATTGCTGTTTTTAGCTGTGAAGTACAGTAAAGGATAAGATGCTTAGGGCACCTGGGGCCAAAGTTAGCCAGGTGAGACTTTTCAGACTGCATGAACACTAGGATTTTTTTTTCCTTTCTGGTAACTCTGTGGCAAGAAAAATATTACATAAATGTAATAGGGGATGAGGGTGTTAGAAAATATGATTGAGTGATATTTTCTATTCACAACACTTTTACTCCACGCATTTGTTGAAGAAAAAGCCTAAGTTTACCACCCTCATAAATACAACTTAACAGCAGGTGTTTAAAGATAATCTTGCTGTCTTGTCAGTTTACTGGCTTACCAACAGAGGCACTAGTATGTAACTTTAGTGATTTATATATCAGGTCGATTCTAGATATAGGCAGAAGAATGAAGCACATTTTCCCTCAGCTGAAGAAATCCTTACATTAGCTGGGCAGATTAGGCCTAGAGTTTCTTCTTGATTTCCATGTATTCATTCATCATGGGGAGAGGGGGCTCAGACTTACAATTTCATTGGCTAGGGAACTTTCTGTGTGGAAACTCTTACTGCAGTGCTTTTTGGCAACTTAAATCCTCAAAGATTATAAAGGTAGGGCTAGAAGGGCCCTCAGAGGTTATCTGGTCCAGCCTCTTCATTTTGTAAAGAAGGAAACTGAGTCCTAGGGAGGCAAGAGACTTGACCAGGTTCACAGAGGTGAATAACCAGCGTATAGCAGAGACGGCATTAGAACCAAAGCCTTAAACAGTCATGGAGCAGCTAGGTGGCACTAGAGTATTAGGCTTAAAGTCAGGCAGACCTAAGTTCAAATCCAGTCTCAGATACTTAATAGCTGGGTGACCCTGGACAAGTCACTTAACCCTGTTTGCCTCAGTTTCCTCATCTGAAAAATGAGCTGGAGAAGAAAATGGCAAGTAGTATCTTTGCCAAGAAAACCCCAAATGGAGTCCCAAAGAGTAGGACAGGACTGAACAGCAACAAATGTATATAGTCACAGCTGGTTACACAGCTAGTTTGTATCAGAGGCAGGCCTTCATCCCACTTTTTCATGATTCCTAGGCCAGCATTCCATGTACTACTTGCTTTTTCCATAATAATAACTGACATATACATACCACTCTTAAAACACTATCTTATTTCATTCCCATAATAATTATTTTAGAGTAACCTAGGTATTATATCAATTTTACAGATCAGGAAACTGAGGCTCAGATAAATTGAGTGATTTGCTCGTCACCAAGCTGTTAAAAGTCAGAGGCTGGATTAGAACCCGGGTTTCCAACTCCAAGTCCAGCACTGTATCTACGATGGAGCCAAACCAAAAATTAACCATGAACTGAGATCTGGAAGGGGCCTCAGAGGCCAGTCAATCTATTACCTCTCCTCCTGCCCCTGTTTTACGGATAAGTGAACTGAGGCCCCAGGAGGCTAAATGATTTGTCCAAGATCACACAGGTGGTAAGCATCAGAAATAACATTTGAACCCAAGTCCTCAGACTTGAAAGCCAGAACATTTTCCACCCCAGAACATTTTCCACCCCACCGTAAGTTGCACATACCCTTGGGGTAAAATTGCAAGACTTGTAATTCCTTCTTCCCACCTGATTTAGACTGCCTCTACGTAGTGTGAGTTCTTCAGATTAGTTTGGCCTAAAAATCCCATTGCTTTAGCAAACAATAATTGCTCGGGGGGGGGGGGGGGCTGTTTGCTCCGAGCTTCTTCAAACTAGCCTGGAAAGGAGAGGACTGAATAGATCATAGCACAATAGTCCCTACATCATTCTCTTAAGTTGCTTTCATTTTAGACATTCCTAGACATACTTGGGCATTTAAAGCACATGTCCAAATAATCTTAAAGACCACACCAAAGCTTATTAGAGTTCTAGCATTTAGTAAGAAAGCAAAGTTGTAACTACACGGTCACCTTGCAATGCCCACACCCTTCCCAAGAGCTTGTCAGGCTGCTGCAAGAGCCTACTTTGGATGCCATAGTCCCCCTCAATCCCCCAGCAAACTGCTTTTTCCTTGGAATGAGATGCCATTACTGGCCTTCTCTTGCATAGGTTCTCCTCTGAATAACGAATTAGCTTTTGGTGGGATTTGCAAAGAAAACTCACGGGAAGAAGAGATCAGGGTGCGTTTGAGTTTCAGTTGCTTGGCAGTTCTAAAATTGCAGGCTCAAGACTAGAGGCACACCTTCAAACTCTGATTTAGGAAAAGTTAAAATAAAAAGTAAGTGCTGTCTGCCCCCACTCATGGATATACCAAACACATGTGCTCTCTCTCTCTCTCTCTCTCTCTCTCTCTCTCTCTCTCTCTCTCTCTCTCTT